AAAAGGTCCTAATAAGGCTATTTTATAAATGACGTGCATTCCTAAGAAATACAAATGCTATACTAGAAAAATAATAAGAGTGCCATTAAAATAAATTTTATTCAAAATTCGTAAAGAAAAATGAAAGTTGTACTGAACAAGATTATTGCCTTTCTTATTAAGGTAACTTGGCATATTTTGAACAATTATTTTTTATTTTATCATTACATGTAATGTTTTTATTCAAGAAAATAATACGAGATGGAATTTTGTGTAAATTATTCACACAATTTAGAAAAATTGAAAGTTTTTTAAAAAATGGAATATTTTAAAATAATACTCCTTTTTTGTATTTACTAATTATTTGACCTGAAATTTTTTGTATCTTTCCTAAGAATGTTTTAAGCAAATTTATGAATCAATTTTACAATAAATTAATGTTAGAGAGAAAAATAAAATGTAGATACGCATGCTAAAATTCAACAAAAAATGCCGAAATCTCCTACATTAAATTTTTTTTAAAAAAGAGCATTAAGTTTATAGCACAAACTGGATGCATAATGTTGTTACATGCATTATGCATAAAACACAGGGGAAAAAATTGAAGTGATTGATTAATATTAATGGAAGGAGAAGCATTTTGAATGTGAAAAAACACAAACAGATAAACCCCTGTAAAGTTTGTAATTCTAAAAAATAATTATTATAAGTTTAAATAACATAAAATATCACTTCAAAATATTAGCTACATATTGTAAGAATAATCGCATTTTCAAATTATTTCAAGTCATATATTTTATAAATGATCCCTTTTTATTGAGTATTAATTTCATAAGAAAACTCTAGGAAAATATTTAAAAAAATTGCTTCTACAATTGCACACATTTTAAAGTTTTTTTCTCAACATAATATTGAAATATTATATTTTTATGGGAAACATATGAGAGAGAGAGAGAAGAATAAGAACTGAAATAATAAAAAAAAATTTAAAAGAAGCCTTAATGAAAAAATTTCACATGCACACAATTCTAAAGAAATACAAATTATATTAATGTAATATTTAAGAAATATCCTGCTTTATTTATAAAAGCTTCTTCTTTTAGTTATTATTTCACTTTTTTTACAATAGTTTATTTTTATCTCTCTCATTTTTTTTATTATCTAAAACGGGATGTTTGTTCATATTTTTCTCAATTGAAGTTTTTCCAACTTCTAATTTTGAGGCATGCAAAAATGATGTATCAATTGAAAGATAATAATATGCAAAGAATATAACTAAATAAAAATAAACAAACGATGTTTTGATCATTTTTAGAGTGCCATATCCCCTTAAGGGAAATAAAACCTGGCTCATTCGATCCCTTTCTAACTGCTCTTCCAGTTATTAAAATTTCATGCTCATAGGGCTATTTCTTTTATAGTTTTTGTGTGTTCTATATAAACTTTTAAACTTTTTTTAAATCCAAAATATTTTGGCTCCTGTTTGAGTCTCGGACTTGAGATTTGAATCAACTGTTCCACTCGTCGAGACCCATCCAGTCATATACTTGACTCCTATTGTGTTGGCATGGGGAGAGTTTAAGTATTAAAATTTCATGTTCCCATGTTAACCCAAGGGGTCTGAAAAAATTTCAACCCCCCTAAGGAATTCAGCTTGGGACTTGATTTTTCGAGGTACGCCATATTTTCGTGTATGCCCGAGCCTTACGTGGAATTGGCCTCCTCCGGTGCTTCCCCATTAATAACTCGTATCCTATGCTACCTTGGTCGACCGCACCGGCTGGATTCGATTGTTCTTCCTATGAGCTCTTCAAATATGTAATTTTATCCCAATGGCCCCATTCCTTCCCCCCCCATTTCACGTTTTTAAACAATTTTAAAGTTTTTTAATTTCCTCATAGCTCCGAGGATTTTTGACCTGTATGGTTCGGAAGTACAAGAACTCGACCTCCCATGTGTCTCCTCCCCCTGGGCAGCATTTTGCCAATACAAATCCTGACTAGCTCATTTCATCATTTCACTGAAACAGTTCAGGGTGTAATAAAATCACTTGCTATCATCATGGAAATCACATTGAAGAGACGTTATTTTAAAATAATGGCAAAATGCTGTCCAGGAGGGGGGAGGAGACACTAGGGAGGTCGTGTTCTTGTACTTCCGAACCATACAGGTCAAAAATCCTGAAAGCTGTGGGGAGTTTAAAAATTTTTAAAATTGTTTAAAAACGTGAGGGGGGGGGAATGGGGCCATTGGGATAAAATTACATATTTGAAGAGCTCATAGGAAGAACAATCGAATCCAGCCGGTGCGGTTGACCAAGGTAGCATAGGATTCGAGTTATTAATGGGGAAGCACCGGAGGGGACCAATTTCACGTAAGGCTCGCGCATACACGAAAATATGGCGTACCTCCAAAAATCAAGTACCAAGCTCAATTCCTTAGGGGTGAAAATTTTTCAGACCCCTTGGGTTAACATGGGAACATGATATTTTAATACTTAAGCCCTCCCCATGTCTACCCAATGGGAGTCAAGTATATGACTGGATGGGTCTTGACGAGTGGAACTGTTGGTTCAAATCTTAAGTCCGAGACTCAAACAGGAGCCAAGATATTGTGGATTTAAATAAATTTTAAAAGTTTATAGCAATTAAAAACTATATAAGGAATAGCCCTATGAGCATGAAATTTTAATAACTGGAAGAAAAGTTAGAGAGGGATCGAATGAGCCAAATTCTAATGGACTGCGAGGCTCGGGTGTCGAGATATTGGCCAAAAAGCTGTAGAGGGGTGGTTATGCACCGGAAGGTATGTGTCCCAGCAGATCCTAACCGTAACAAAAGTTATTACGATCCCCCGACTATTAGTTCCCTAGCATAAAAAAAGTGACATATTTTTTTCATTTCATCATTTCACTAAAACAGTTTGGGGATTTAACTAATTAACTTACTTATAAAAGGGAAAAGACAGAGAATTTATTTTAACATCTTGCGTGAAGGGATTTGACGAAAGCTCTAATTTCATCGTTTCCCTGCGACATATAGGCGGCGACCTTCAGTTGTGAAATCATGAGATTCTTTTTTCCCTGTCAGTCAAAGGGTCGCCCGTACACACGTCATTTCTCTCGCTTTCCTCCCTCACTAACGACTCAGCTAATTGCTGTATTTCATAATTTACCGGTTTCTCATTTGGCATTCTATAGAATGTCTAGGTAATGTATGGAATAAAAATCATTCGATACATTGCAGGCTAGATTTAGGCATTCTGTAACGGCGTGGCACATAGGAGGCTTGACACATAGCACACGATAGACTAGAAAGAGGGCGCTGCTGAGAACTGTTTTGGCTTTTGAGCGGGAAGGAGAGAAGAAGAAGAAGGTGGTCTCGAACGTAAAATGGAGGAAGCTGCCTGTAGTTCACGATGCGATTTTTAATTGTAAATGATATTGTTAATATAGTGATGTGTTTTGAAGGAAATAATAAAAACGGTGTAAATCCGGTTAATTAGAGGTGATTAATTCAACTACAAGACGATCTTACAACGCTATAGAATGCCGGATTTCATACATTGCTGGTAACATGTACAGTGAAACTTCTAAACGGCTAGGAAATAAAAATAATAAAAGGCTCAGTTTATAAAATAAAAGATTCATGTTTTGGTTTATATCAGACGGTCAACTTTTAAGCAAAGTACTTCGTTTTTGCTTACATTTTTCGCCATTGAAATGGGCGTGGACCAGTTTCAACGACTATTTAAAAATGGATTTTAAAGGCTTCTAATTACCCTAGAGGTTAAAGTAAGGTATTTTTAGAAAGGTTAAAATCTATACAATTTGAAAATTTAAAAATCTCAAATTGCCAAAAAGTATGATTTTAGCTTCTCAATTTCATGAGTGATAAGAAAATTAAAAACAGTCCTTAAGGTAATAAAATTCAAACAAAAAAAATTGCGTACCCGTCTACCAGACGGATATTTCTAAGAGCGGTAAAAAATTGATGTTTCGGTCAGAGGGTTAAGTATATATTAGAGATTTTTAATTATTTTCAACTTAAAATATTTCATATTTGCTGAGAACCATATATATGCGAATAAAATATTCAGTTGAGATAATACATATCTAGTTTCCGTTAATTCGGTGGCTCAACAATCTATAAAAGTCACGGCCTACTATGCCCATTTCGGTTTTCGTGACCTAGAGCACTGAGTGGCAAAAGCAGGAGATCCGGGGAGATGGTTAGTTTGACGCGAAACTACAAGTGTTTTGTTCCCAAGCAAGCTTGATACATATTTAATAACAATATAAAGGGATGAAAGGCTAAAAATACCTGGCATAGAACGAGGTTTGAACTCTGGACCTTAAGCGCGAAAGTGTGGTACTATACCACTCGGAAACTGAAGTTCAATATATGTAGTTAGGATGATAAAATAAAGTAGAGTTGGATAGATGTTTAGACTTTTGTGTGTGTGAAGACAAAGTTAGAAAGGATATATTTTATGTCAAACATATAGATAAAAATCATTTAATTAAAACTTAAAACATTTAAAACATCACACTTTACAATATGGAGAAAAATATTTAATAACAAATTAAATACATTAGGAAAAAAAAATTATGTCATAAAAATGAAAAAATTATGGATTAAATATAAATTTATATTAATCAAGTTAAATATTGATAAATGAAGATTTACAATATAAAAGTAAAAAGAGTTAAAAAAGAAAGTATTATATATCTGCTATTCACTATATTTATAAAGAATTTGGAAGAACATAGATTTAAAAAAAAATCAATGTTTACACACAGATTATTTTGTTATGTTGTTTTTAATCAAAAGCCGCATGCTGCATATTTTTCTTTTTATACTGCATTCGATCGTTCTCGACAAGTCCGGGATATTTTGAATTCCGAAGAGGACAGTCATTTTTTTGAAGAGAAAAATATCTCATTATTTCAAACTAATATACAAGAAAAATGTAACGAAAGAAACAAAAATGTGCATTCAGTAACACAATAGAAGTTCGTCGCCATCATAGCTCAGTGGACGTGCACTGGTCTTGTAAATCAGGAGTCGTGAATTCAATCCTCACTGGTGGCATTTTCAAATATTTCCTTAAGCTGGGTGTAGATTCTAATCAAAAGATGCTTGCGGCATATTTTCTTTTTGAGTGCATTCCATCGTTCTCGATGTAACCGGGATATTTTGAATCCCGAAGAGTAATGTCATTTTTTTGAAGGGGAAAGTATCTCATTATTTTAAATATATTTACAAAAGAAATGTCACAAAAAAATGTGCATTGAGTAATAAGATCGAATTCCGTCGTCATCATAGCTCAGTGGCAGAACACTGGTCTTGTAAACTTGGGGGCGTGCGTTCGATCCTTACTGGTGGCTTTGCGAATAATTGTTCAAACAGTGTGTTGTTTCTAAATAAAAGAAGGTATGTTTATCTTTTTATAGTGCATTCGATCGTTCTCGATATATTCGGAAAATTTTCATCCTAAAGAGGTATGTCATTTTTGGAATAGAAATGTGACACTTTCTTTGAAACTAATATACTAAAGGAATGTCGCGAAAGAAAAAAAAACTTTGCATTGAGTAATATGAATGAAATCAGTCTCCATCAGAGCTCAGTGGCAGAGCACTGGTCTTATTGACCAGCGGTCGTGAGTTCCATTCTTAGTGGTGGCTTTGCGAATACTTGATCAAGCAAGGTGTTGTTTTTAATCAAATGACGCATACTGCATATATACTTTTTTATAGTGCATTTGATCTTTCTCGATAAACTGGGAAAATTTCCGGAAAAGGAAATCCATTTTTTTGAAGAGAATAATGTCTCATTATTTTAAAATTAATATACGAGAGAAATGTCAATAAAAAAACAAAAATGTGCATTGAGTAATAAGTGTGAACTCCGTCGCCACAATAGTTCAGTGGAAGAACACTGGTATTGTAAACCAGGTGTCGTGAGTTCAATCCTCACTGGTGGCTTTTCTAATATTTGTCCAAGCAGTGTGTTGTTTCTACTGAAAACACGCATGCTGCGTATTTTACTTTTCATAGTGCCGTCCATTCAAACTCCATGTATCCGGAACATTTTGATCCAGAAGAGGAATGTCATTTAAGGAAGGGAAAAGTTTCTCATGCTTTAAAATTAATACACGAGAGAAATGTCACTACAAAAACCAAAATGTGCATTGAGTAATAAGAGTGAAAACCGTCGCCATCATAGCTCATTGGCAGAGTACTGGTCTAGTAAACCAGCGGTCGAGAGTTCGATCCGCATTCGTGGCTTCGCAAAAAAGTGCACAAGCACTGAGTTGTTTTTAATGAGAAAACGCATGCTGCGTATTTTTCTTATTATAGTGCATTCAATTCACACTCGATGTATCCGGAATATTTCGATACAGAAGAGGAATTTTTTTTGGAATAGAAAAGTTTCTGATGTTTAAAACTAATGTACGAGAGAAATAACAATAAAAAAACAAAAATGTGCATTTACAAATAAGAGTGAGCTTCGTCGCCGTCATAGATCAGTGGAAGAACACTGCTCTTGTAAAATGGGGTTGTGAGTTCGATCCTCATTGGTTGCTTTGAAAATGTTTGCTCAAGAAGTGTGTCGTTTCTACTGAAAAGACTCATGCTGCGTATTTTTCTTTTATAGTTCTTTTATAGTGGTATAGTTTTTGGCGCCAAAAACAGCAGTGGGTCCTCCTAGGATTTTACCGGGTTGCCATATGTTGTATTTAAAAGCAAGGTTACCATGACGGCGCAATTATCGCCAACCAAAGTAATTCGCGCCAAGGGTGGGGGCTCTCCTAGGTGTGAACCGAGAAAAGTTTATCATGCTTAAAAGTTACTAAACGAGAGAAAAGTCATTAAAAAACAAAAATGTGCAATGAGTAATAAGAGAGAAAACCGTCGCCATCATAGCTCAGTGGCAGAGCACTGATCTTGTAAATCAGGGGTCGTCAGTTCTATCCTCACTGGTGGTTTTGCAAATAAGTTTCAAGCGGTGTGTTGTTTCTGATGAAAAGACGCATGCTGCGTGTTTTTTTTATAAAGCATTCGATTCACTCTCGATATATCGGGAATATTTCGAACCAGAAGAGGAATGTCATTTTTGGCATATAAAAGTTTCTGATGCTTCAAAACTAATATACGAGAGAAATGTCACTAAAAAAACAAAAATGTGCAATGAGTGATAAGAATGAAATCCGTCGCCCTCGTAGCCCAGTGGATAAGCACTATTCTTGTAAACCAAGGGTCAAGAGTACGATCCTCACTGGTGGGTTTGCAAATATTTGGTCAAGCGGTATGTTGTTTCTAATGAAAAGACGCTTCCTCCATATTTTTCTTTTGGTAGTGCATTCGATTCTCACACGATGTATCCGGAATATTTCGACCCAGAAGAGGAATGTCATTTTTCGAAGAGAAAAGTTTTTGATGCTTCGAAACTAATATAGGAGAGAAATGTCACAAAAAAACAAGAATGTGCAATGAGTGATAAGATTGAAAACCGTCGCCCTCACAGCCCAGTGGATGAGCACTGGTCTTCTAAACCAGGGGTCAAGAGTACAATCCTCACTGGTGGGTTTGCAAATATTTGGTCAAACAGTAAGTTGTTTCTAATGAAAAGACGCATCCTCCATACTATTCTTTTGGTAGTGCATTCGATTGTCACTCGATTTATCCGGAATATTTCCATCCAGAAGAGGAATGTCCTTTTTCGAAGAGAAAAGATTCTCATGCTTAAAAACTAATATACGAGAGAAATGTCACTAAAAAAACAAAAATGTGCAATGAGTAATAAGAGTGCATTCCGTCGCCATCATAGCTCAGTGGCAGAGCGCTGTTCTTGTAAACCAGCGGTCGTGAGTTCGTTCCTCACTGGTGGGTTTGCAAATATTTGCTCAAGCAGTATGTTGTTTCTAATGAAAAAACGCATCTTTCGCATTTCTCTTTTGATAGTGCATTCCATTCACGAAGGATGTATCCGGAATATTTCGATCCAGAAGAGGAATATCTTTTTAGGAAGAGAAAAGTTTATCATGCTTAAAATTTACTAAACGAGAGAAAAGTCATTAAAAAAACAAAAATGTGCAATGAGTGATAAGAGTGAATTCCGTCGCTATCATAGCTCGGTGGCAGAGCACTGATCTTGTAAACCAGGGGTCGTCAGTTCGAATCTCACTGGTGGTTTTGAAAATAAGTTTCAAGCCGTGTGTAGTTTCTAATGAAAAGACGCATCCTCCATCTTTTTCTTTTAATAGAGCATTCGATTCAAACTCGATGTATGCCAAAAATTTCGATCCAGAAGAGGAATGTCTTTTAGGAAGAGAAAAGTTTCTCATACTTAATATATATATAAAATCTAATAAACGAGAGTAATCTTATTAAAAAAACTAAAATGTGCAATGAGTAATAAGAAAGAAATCGATCGCCATCATAGCTCAGTTGCAGAGCACTGGTGTTGTAAACCAGGGGTCGTCAGTTCGATTCTCACTGGTGGTTTTGCAAATAAGTTTCAAGCCGTGTGTTGTTTTTAATGAAAAGACGCATGCTGCGTATTTTTCTTATTATAGGGCATTCAATTTACACTCGATGTATCCGGAATATTTCGATCCAGAAGAGTATTTTTTTTTCGAATAGAAAAGTTTCTGATGCTTCAAAACTAATATACGAGAGAAATGACACTAAAAAAACAAAAATGTGCAATGAGTGATAAGAATGAAATCCGTCGCCATCATAGCTCAGTTGCAGAGCGCTGTTCTTGTAAACCAGGGGTCGTGAGTTCGTTCCTCATTGTTGGGTTTGCAAATATTTGCTCAAGCAGTATGTTGTTTCTAATGAAAAAACGCATTTTCCGCAATTCTCTTTTGATAGTGCATTCGATTCACAAAGGATGTATCCGGAATATTTCGATCCAGAAGAGGAATGTCTTTTTAGGAAGAGAAAAGTTTATCATGCTTAAAAGTTACTAAACGAGAGAAAAGTCATTAAAATAAATGTGCAATGAGTAATAAGAGAGAAAACCGTCGCCATCATAGCTCAGTGGCAGAGCCCTGATCTTGTAAATCAGGGGTCGTCAGTTCTATCCTCACTGGTGGTTTTGCAAATAAGTTTCAAGCGGTGTGTTGATTCTAATGAAAAGACGCCTGCTGCGTGTTTTTTTTATAAAGCATTCGATTCACTCTCGATATATCGGGAATATTTCGAACCAGAAGAGGAATGTCATTTTTGGCATATAAAAGTTTCTGATGCTTCAAAACTAATATACGAGAGAAATGTCACTAAAAAAACAAAAATTTGCAATGAGTGATAAGAATGAAATCCGTCGCCCTCATAGCCCAGTGGATGAGCACTATTCTTGTAAACCAAGGGGCAAGAGTACGATCCTCACTAGTGGGTTTGCAAATATTTGGTCAAGCGGTATTTTGTTTCTAATGAAAAGACGCATCCTCCATATTTTTCTTTTGGTAGTGCATTCGATTCTCACACGATGTATCCGGAATATTTCGACCCAGAAGAGGAATGTCATTTTTCGAAGTGAAAAGTTTTTGATGCTTCAAAACTAATATAGGAGAGAAATGTCACTAAAAAAACAAAAATGTGCAATGAGTAATAATGGTGCATTCCGTCGCCATCATAGCTCAGTGGCAGAGCGCTGTTCTTGTAAACCAGCGGTAGTGAGTTCGTTCCTCACTGGTGGGTAAGCAAATATTTGCTCAAGCAGTATGTTGTTTCTAATGAAAAACGCATCTTTCGCATTTCTCTTTTGATAGTGCATTCCATTCACAATGGATGTATCCGGAATATTTCGATCCAGAAGAGGAATGTCTTTTTAGGAAGAGAAAAGTTTATCATGCTTAAAATTTACTAAACGAGAGAAAAGTCATTAAAAAAACAAAAATGTGCAATGAGTGATAAGAGTGAATTCCGTCGCCATCATAGCTCGGTGGCAGAGCACTGATCTTGTAAACCAGGGGTCGTCAGTTCGAATCTCACTGGTGGTTTTGAAAATAAGTTTCAAGTCGTGTATAGTTTCTAATGAAAAGACGCATCCTCCATCTTTTTCTTTTGATAGGGCATTCGATTCAAACTCGATGTATGCCGAATATTTCGATCCAGAAGAGGAATGTCTTTTAGGAAGAGAAAGGTTTCTCATACTTAATATATATATAAAATCTAATAAACGAGAGAAATGTCATTAAAAAAACTAAAATGTGCAATGAGTAATAAGATAGAAATCGATCGCCATCATAGCTCAGTTGCAGAGCACTGGTGTTGTAAACCAGGGGTCGTGAATTCGATCCTCACTGGTGTCTTTGCAAATAAGTTCTCAAGCAGTGAGATGTTCGTTAAGAAAAGACGCATGCTGCGTATTTTTCTTATTATAGGGCATTCAATTTACACTCGATGTATCCGGAATATTTCGATCCAGAAGAGGAATTTTTTTTTCGAATAGAAAATTTTCTGATGCTTCAAAACTAATATACGAGTGAGTGAGTGAGTTTTGGGGTTATTGGCGCAAGAGCCAATTTTGGCTAAACTGCGCCACACGTTTGTTAAAATAGTAAAACCATGTAAAAATACAAAGGAAAAATACAAGTACATAAAAATAATTATACATGTGCATGCCTGCATGCACATATATAAAAAATAAAGTTAAAGTTAAAACATTTTAAAAAGTCAAATTAAATATAAAAATCCAATTTTCTTTATAAAAGCAAAGAGATTTTGGTGGGGAGATTCCCCCACCAAGTCAGATAAGGTTAAAACAGATTTATGAAAAAAGGTCATGCGATGAGTATTAAAAACGGGACAATCTATGAAAATGTGATGAACAGTGTAAGAGACATGGCATGAAGGACATTCAGGAGCACGTTCTCCAAACAACAAATGCCTGTGTGTGAAGCGAGTATGGCCAATGCGAAGACGAGTCAATTTGACATCAGTTCTTCGCATGGGCATCACAGGCCATGCTCCTATGACAGGTTTCACGGAGTGCAGTTTGTTATCCAACTGCTGACTCCATGATTCCTGCCAGATCTTAAAAATATGATGCATGATGACGCGCTTCATATCCGATAGCGGAACCGCTAGCGGCAGATGCGTCGTCGCCGATTTTGCCGCGCTGTCCGCTTGCTCGTTGCCTATGATACCTACGTGACTTGGTAGCCAGCAAAACACGATATCGAAACCCTTGCTGTACAGTCGACTCGTAATGTCGAGTATTTTACAAACCACTGGATGGCAGCGATCGTCATAGTTTTCAAGCGCTTCCAGTACATTCATGCTGTCAGTATAGATGCAGTATTTACGGGGCATATTGGAGTCGATTAATTGAAGTGCACGGTAAATGGCGACAGCTTCGGCAGTGAAAATGCTGCAAGAAGTGTCGAGCCGATAACCGTGCATAATATCTTCAATCACAACTCCACAGCCAACGTAATCTGCACGTTTCGAACCATCCGTGTAGATGGTCGAATAACTACTATACTGACTGCGGTGGTAGGCGAAGACGCGTTGAAAAACGACAGGCGCGACAGTGGATTTACTGTAAGTGGCAAAAGGGTTGATATAATGGAACCGTGGCGTATTCCAAGGTTAGAACAGGAAAAGGTTCCTTTGCTGGATATGCACGTTAGGTAGGTCGAGTTCAGAAATATGAATTTTCATCCTATCCATAAACGGCCGGATGTTAGACGGCCGTGCATCATAAAGTCTCTTCATGCTGGTACTCATATACACATTCTGCAGAGGATGTGAAGGCACGGACAAGATCTTAAAATAATACGCAAGAGACAGCTTCCTCCGTCGAAGATCTAGAGGAAGCTGATGACAGTTAACATAGAGACTCTGCACCGGTGATGTGCGAAACGCACCCGAGCAGATTCTCAGTGCCATATGGTGGACGGGGTCAAGTTTTTGCAGAGTAGAGTTGCACGCTGATCCGTATGCAACACATCCGTAGTCGATGCGAGAGAGTACGATTGCCTGATACACTCGGAGTAATGATGTTCGATCCGCCCCCCAAGAGGTGTTGGACAACACCTTCAAGAGGTTTAGAGACTTTTCACACCTCTTCCGCAAATGTAAAATATGCGGAAGGAAAGTGAGCCGGCGGTCGAAAATTACTCCGAGGAATCGTACGTCGGGAACTACGGGAATTTGTATATAACGGATGCGTATTTCGGGGTCGGGATGAATACACCGTTTGCGGCAAAAGTGCACGCAGCAACTCTTGCTCGCCGAAATACTATGACCGTTGGTGTCCCACCACTTTAAAATGTTGTTGACGGCAGTTTGCAACTGTCGTTCAATCATGCGCATGTCCGAACCTTCACAACTGATCTGTAGATCGTCCACGTATAGTGAAGCCTGTATAGAAGGCGATAAAACATGTAAAATGTGAGAGATATGACATATAAAAAGGGTGACACTCAAAATACTCCCCTGAGGAACTCCCTCAGCTTGGGTAAAAGGAGCAGAAAGAGTGCCAGCCAGTCTCACTCTAAACGTACGAAGTTTTAAAAAATGTTGAAGAAAAGTAGGCAAATTGCCTCTGAATCCAAAATCAAATAAAGTGCGAAGTATCCCATAGCGCCAAGTACGATCATATGCCTTCTCGATATCGAAAAAGATAGAAACTAAATGATTCCTCCGGACAAAAGCGTTTCTAATTTTGTTTTCTAGCGTAATAATATTGTCCAGAGTGGATCTTCCTTTACGGAAGCCACTCTGAAACAAAGGAATGCATTTGTTCTTTTCTAACTGGTAAACGAGACGGGCATTGACCATACGTTCTAGTGTCTTACAAAGGCAGCTCGTGAATGCTATCGGTCGATAGCTGAGAGGGTCCTTAGGATCTTTTCCAGGTTTTAAAATAGGGATCACTATGGCTTCTTACCATTGAGTAGGATACACCTGCACCCTCCATATTCGGTTGAATAGGTAAAGGAGACTTACTAGTGAATCCTCGCTCAAATGGCGAAGCAATACATAGGATATTAAATCAGGACCTGGACTAGTATTGTGGGCCGATGATAAGGCTCTCTTCAATTCAAACATGTCAAAGTCACAGTTATATGGTAAAGGTTGTCGGCACCTGAAGTTGATAGGTGTCCGCTCTAAATGATTCTTAGTCGCCTGGAATGCAGGGCTATATGAATCGGAGCTGGACACACTAGCAAATGTTTTGCCAATCAAGCTGGCCACATCTAAAGGTGACGAAAACAAAGCAGTAGAAGTTTCCAATATCGGAATGTTAAATTCCCGATAAAGGCCATTCGCTGCTTTGACCTTTCTCCATAACTGTTGGCTGGTAGTTGACGATGTGATTGAAGACACATACTTGATCCAAGATTCTCTCTGGCATTGACGACGTATTCGACGAGCTAACGCTTTCGCACGTTTGAACGCTATGAGATTATCAGATGTGGGGTACCTCCTGAAAATACCCCACGCCCTCCTTTGCTCCTTTTTGGCTTGTTGGCAGGAAGCGTTCCACCATGGTTTGCACAGCTTTCGAGGGGAATTGGATGTTTTGGGAATGGCTGCATCGGCAGCATTCCGAATAGCTTCAGTGACATTGAAGACTGCTTCAACAACTGCCCTGTTCTGGACCATTGTGCCTGTGATAATCGCTACCGTGTGAATTTATCCCAGTCTGCACGATGAAAATGATAAGTGGGAGGACGAAAACGTGTCCCCGCACCATTAACATGCGAGACTAGGAGAGGGAAATGATCGCTGTTGTGCAGATCGTTCGCAACCTCGAAATTCAACATCGGTAGCAGAGTTGGCGAACAGATGGCTAGATCGAGGGAGTGAAACGTCCTCGTGGGTGCATGGAAATACGTTTTCTCGTCGTTGTTCAGCAGACAGAGACAGTGAGCCGAAATCAACTGTTCAATCTGTCGCCCGCGAGAATTTGTAACATCATGCCCCCACAGAGGGCTGTGTCCGTTAAAGTCACCGAGCAGAAGAAATGGAGCTGGCAATTGACTGACTAAACGATTCAAATCCACTTGTGGCACAACCTCGTTGTGTGGTAAATAAACACAACAGACTGTGACTAAAGAATGGATGTGAATCCGAACAGCCACAGCCTGTAATGATGTGTGCAGTGTGACGACATTACTGGGAAACAGATTAGACGTGAAGAGGCATACACCTCTGGTTAGAGATGTATCGCCATCTACATCCCGTCGTACACAATTATAACCACGCACTTGCATTGTCATGGTACTCTTCAGAAATGTCTCCTGAAGAGCAACGCATGCGGGCTGGTACGTGGATATGATGGATTTGAGATCAGCAAGTCGAGTTCTTAGACCACGGCAGTTCCAGGAGATAAAGGAGGTCATGAAGTCTTCGCACTTGCTCCTCGCAAGGAGCCAGAAGACGAAGGTCTGGGCGACAGATCGTCCATCAGACTTTCGTCGCTTTGCGAGGCGTGAATGTCCATGACATCGTCTCCCATGTCATGGAGTTTTTTAGAGAGGTTCGACCTCTTTTTTTTGTGGGATTGCACCCCCGACTCCTTTATGCGTGTTTTCCTGTTCTTCTTAACATCGCGTGGAGGGGATACAGACTTAAGTGTATCCACTGCAACATTCTTCGGTGTTATAGATGCGGCTGTCACAGATGTTGCAGCCGTACTCGCGTCTACTTGAATGGCTGTGGATACGCAGAATTTGCTGATCGCCGACGCATAGCTTTTTCCAGAAACTGGCGTGCGTGACGATACAACACGCCGAGCCTCTGGATACGAAATTTTATTTTTGATTTTCAAGGCCGTGATCTCCTTTTCGAGTAGCCAGGTTGGACAAGAGCGAGAAAACGATGAATGATCGCCTTTGCAATTCACACATCGTTCCTTTGCTTTACAGTCTGCGCTATCATGGCCTACCTCTGCACATCTAGAGCAGGTTGGCTGGCCGCGGCAGACTGTTTTCGAATGTCCAAATCTCTGGCACTGAAAGCATCGCAGCGGATTCGGGATGTATGGTCGGACTAGGCATCGGATGTAGGCCATTTTAACTGTCTGTGGAAGGTCAGGCGTATACAAGACCAGTGCTCTGCCACTGAGCTATGATGGCGACGGATTTCACTCATATTACTCATTGCACATGTTTGTTTTTTTAGTGACATTTCTCTCGTATATTAATTTTTTAAGTAAGATAAACTTTTCTCTTCCTAAAAAGACATTCCTCTTCTGGATCGAAAAATTCCGGATACATCGAGTGTGAATCGAATGCACTTTTAAAAGAAAAATACGGAAGATTCGTCTTTTCATTAGAAACAACATACTGCTTCAGCAAATAT